CTACTTTCTTTGCTCAGCATTTGTAGATTAATTCTACATATAAATGAAATCACATAGAATTTGTTTTTCTGTCCTGGTTTATTTCATTAAGCATAATGTTCTCCAGGTTCATTTATGTTGTAATAAATGACAGTGTTTCCTTATTTTTTTTAACTGAATACTATTCCATTATGTGTGCATATGATATATGCACATTTTCTTTATTCATCTTTCTGTTGTTGGACATTTTGGTTGATTCCATAGTTTAGCAATTGCGAATAGTTCTGCAATGGGCATCGGAGTTCAGATGTCTCTTTGATATAATAATTTTATTATCTTTGGATATATAAATAAATGTAGAATTGCTGGATCATATGGTAGATCTATTTTTAAGTTTTTGAGGATAAAAGGATGGCTTTTGCCATAAGGGCTGTACCAATTTGCATTCCCACTGATGCTATACAAGGGTTCTCTTTTCTTCACATCTTTGCCAACACTTTTTTTTGATGATAGTCACCTAACTTGCATGAGGTGACATCTCATTGTGGTTTTAATTTGCATTTCCCTGATGGTTAGTGATATTGAACTTTTAAAAAATATTTATCTGTTGACTATTTTTATGCCTTCTCTATTTTGAGAGAGGGAAATTGAGAAATCACCCCCAAGGCGGATGACCATGCTGTGATCCCTTCTCCTTCAGACTCCTCTTGGGATTTTGGGCACACATAGGCACACACAACCCGTGTGATTTTCAAGCTTCCTGATCCAGGACTCAAGCCACAATTGGTCATGTGGGAGTTCACTGCCTTAACCACCATGCCTCTTGCTGGTCCTGTTTGTGTTCTCTTAAGAAATGTGTTTTGGGGACTAGCAGATAGCATAATAGTTACATTGCTGGACTCCCACAATGGCAACCACTGTTAAGAGTCCCAGACTCAGTAGCTTGAAACTCATCCTAAGTGTGTGTGTGTGTGTGTGTGTGTGTGTGTGTGCATGCCCAACATCCCTAGAGGAGAATGGAGAAGGGATTGCAGCATGGCCACCCTCCCACCCGGGGGGCTGATTTCTTGCTGTCTATCTCTGTGTCTCTGGTGAGGACATGCACCCTGTAGCAAACATCTCTATTAAAAAATTTTTAAAAAGAAATGTGTTTTTAGTTTTTTTGCTCATTTTAAAATTATGTTGTTTGTATTTTTTAGCTCTTAAGTTGTTTGTGTTACTTATATATTTTGAATGTTATCCCTCACTTGATGCACGGTTTGCAAATATATTTTCCCATTCCATACATTCTCAGTTCATGCCGTTCATTATTGCCTTTACTGTGCTTTTTAGTTTAGTGTCATTCCATTTGTCTATTTTTGGTTTTGTTTCCTGTGCTTTTAGGAATAATCAAAAAATGTTTGCCCAGACAAATGTCAATAACCCCTTTGTTTTCTCCTATTGGTTTTACAATTTCATCTTGTGTTTAAGTCTTTAATCCATATTTTTGTATATGGTACAAGATAAGGGTCCAGTTTCATCTCTTTGCTTATGGTTAGCCAGTTTTACCAGTACCAGTGAATGAAGAGACTGTATTTCCCTAATGCATATTCTTAGTACTTTTGTCAAAGATCAGTTTGTTGTAAATGTATGTATTTATTTTTGGGTTCTCTTTTTTGTTTCATTAATCTATATGCCTGTTTGTGTGCCAGTACCACACTGTTTTGATTTGTACAGGTATCTAATAGATTTTGAGATTACGTCATATGATGCCTCCACTTTTATTGTTTTTGCTCAAAATTACTTGGCTATTTAGAGTCATTAGTGGTTCTGTATGAACTTTAGTATCGTTTTTTCTATTTCTGTGAAAAATGTTGTTAGAATTTTGATAGAGATAGCTTTAAATCTGTAGCTACTCTGGGTAGTAAGAACATTTTAACAGTACAGTTCTTTCAATCCATAAACAGAAGCTATCTTTCCGCTTACGTATGTCTTCTTCAATTTTTTTCATCAACATTTTATAATTTTCAGTGTGCAGATCTTTCACCTCTTTGGTTAAATTTACTCCTAAATGTTTTATTTTGGTTTTGATACTATTGTAAGTGAGATTGTTTTCTTAATTTCTTTTTAAGATAGTTAATGTTTTTTAATTGCTAGAGGGAATGTATACTCACCAGAGAGAGAGGAAGAGAGAGAGAGAGATAGAAAGAGAGAGAGAGAGGGGGGAATTACTCTTCAATGGGGGTGTGGTCATGCTGCAATTCTTTCTCCATTTTTCCATCCTGTCCCACTAGGTTATGGAGCTGGTCTAATTGTTCATTGTTAGTGTATAGAAATGATACTGATTTGGGCCAACCTGTGGTGTGGTGGTTAAGGTGGCTGGATCTCTCATGGCCTAACCATGCATGTGCCCTATGGCATTTTTTAATAAAAAGAAAAATAAAGGAATGATACTGATAATTGTATCCTACAACTTTACTGAATTCCTCTGTTGTTTTTTAAAATATTTGGTAGAGTCTTTAGTATTTTCTATATATAAGATCATGTCATTTATGAAAAGTGATAATGTAACTTTTTACTTTCCTCTTTAGAATTCTTTAAGTTTTTTCCTTGCATAGTATTTTGAGCTAAGACTTCCACTACTGTGAGGAGGTCCTCAATAAGTTTATGGAAAAATGTGTATGATGAAAAAAGTATACATGTATTTCAAAATTTTTCTTGCACCAAAATAAACTTTAATTCCATTTCCACAAACTTTTTGAATTTCCCTTGTATGTTGAATAAAGATTGGTCATCATTTTATTGCTTCTAATCTTAGTTTTCAGCTTTTCACAGTCCAATATGATAGTTTTTTTGAATTTGTTATATATGACATTTTTATGTTAGGTATATTCCTTCTGTACTTAATTTGTTGCAAATTTTTATCATGAAGAATGTTGAATTTTGTCAAATGCTTTTTTCTGCTTTTAGTGAAATGATCACATGGTTTTTAATTTTTGTTCTGCTCATGTGGCATATTGCATTTTTTTAATTTACATATGTTAAGCCACCCTTGCATCCCAGGGATAAACTTTGCTTAACCTGGTGTAGGATACTTTTATTGTGCTATTCATTTGATTTACCAGTATTTTGCTGAGAGTTTTTGGATATATGTTTATAAGGAATATTGGCCCATATTTTTCTTTTGTTGTAGAGTCTTTGTCTGGCTTTGGAATCACAGTAATGCTGGCCTTGTTAATGGGTTTGGAAGTTTTTCCTGTGTTTCAATTTTTTTTGGAAGAGTTTTAGAAAACTAGTATTATTCTTTAAATGTTTGGTGGAATTCAGTATTAAACCCATCAAGTCCTAGACTTTTCTTTGATGAGAGATTTTAATGTACTTATTCAATCTTTATAATCTTTACTTGTTCAGGCTTTATATTTCTTCATAATTCAGTTGTGGTAAGTTGTGTTTCTAGGAATTTATTTCTTCTAGGTGACTCAATTTTTTTGTGTATTGTTCATAATAATGTCTCATGATCCTTTGTATTTCTGTGATATCATTCATGATGTCTTCACTTTCATTTCTGGTTTTATTTATTTGAGTCTTTTTCTAGAAGTTCTTTCAGCAACTCAATCCCCAAAATGACCAAACTTGCTTTTCTTCCCCTAACCTTCTCCTGTTTCCTATTTACTCAGCCTAGAAATTTGGAGTGCATGTATACCTTTCCTTCTCTTTCTCCTCCACTTCCAATCACTCATGAGTTTTTATTTATTTATTTATTTATTTATTTACTTACTTACTTATTCCATAAGTGATTACCTTGCTCTGCCATTATTTTAATTCAGGTTCTATTTTTCTATCTCTGTTTTGCTGTGGCCTCCTCACTGAATTCCTGTTGCCTGGTCCTGAGCCTTCCATTTACTTAGAGCCATCTCTTGATGTTGTAATGCATTATCAGTGAAGTTAAAGTCATTATTAAATTTGTGAGAATGGCTTGTTTTCAGTGTTCTCACCCTGTTGTAGTTTTCTCTATACATCACTTGTACAGAGGTCTAGCTCTCAAGTGACAACAGAGGCTAATTTCAACTCTTAAGTCTTTTCTTTCAGACCTGGCTTGACTCCTATTTTAGATCTGACCACTTGCGGAGCAACTACTATCTGAGCCTGATTTTTCAGACACTGCATAGCCACATCTGTGAGAGGGGTTCTGTCCCCAATACATATCCCCTCCAGTGGAACGAACTCAATTTATAGTCCCAGCTTCTCCTCTGTATCCTGCCCTGCCTACTCAAATCATTAAATAGGACAAAGTAGCCATTTCCTGAGAATATTAGAAAGCTCAACTGTGTCAGACTCATTGTGTAGCCCACTGTTAGAACATAAAAGATACTTTGCAAGAGGAGGTAATTCAACTTTTGGATCTCAATTATCTCCTCAAGGGATGTTCCTCATCCTTTATTGTGTGCTGTTATCTACAGAATGTTAAAGCACGTATGATTCCATTTATATAACATTATTAAGATGACAAAATTACAGAGTTGGAGAATAGGTTAGTGGTTCCTGGGTGTTGGGAATGAAGGTAAGAAGGAGATGGGTATAGCTATATAAAGACAATATGAAGGATCCTTGTGGTGATGGAAATGTTCTCTTGACTGTGGTGGTGGTTCCAGAAACTTGCATGTGATAAAATTGCATAAAACTAAACATACACACATGAGTGTACACACACACACAAGTACAAGTAAAACTAGAGAAATCCGAATAAGGTCATTGGATTGTATTAATATTGACATCTTGGTTCTGCTATTGCACTACAGTTGTGCACGATGTTACCAATGGGGAAAACTGGGTAAAAGAGACACCACAGGATCTCTCCGTACTATTTCTTTCAACCGCACATGAATCTACATTTACTGCAAGATAAACAAGGTCAATTTAAAAAGTTAACTCTTTTAGTTCTAACAATTCATGGTATTTGTTGAACTGAACCATTTATTCTTTCAGCCAATTCTGCCTCTTGGGAGTAATAGAATTCATGAGATTTTTGTTTGCTTAATGAGAGTATGTTTCCATTTACTTTCCAAAAGTACAACTAGCATCTCCAGCTTTCTCTTTACTCTTAGTTTCATGATGTGGTGGGTTTCAGTCATCCCGTCTTGGTGCTGTTGTCTGTGGACTGAAAAAAAACAATAATTTGAGTCTAGCATCATTGTTCCTTTGTTTAAGCTGCTCTTATCTGGGCACTCACCTGTGGGATCAGAACCACTTTCAGCCACAGTCAAGGATGACGACATCACAATTTGGTACAGAATGTTTATTTGAATTTTATTTTTCCTCTTTCTCCTTTTTCCTTCTTTCAAACATTTTTGACAGCAGAATCTTCTGGGGTCCAGTCTGAGAAAGACTCCCAGGTGAATTCCCTGGGTCTTAACTGAGACCTCAGATCTCTGAATCCTTTAAGTTTCAGAACACTCCTCTGCCACTTTTCTCTACCCACTCATGCAGTCTCTAGAAGACTGTGTTTTCTTCCTATTGAAATTTGATATCCAAAAGCTTAGCATCACCAGCAAAATGTACATGACACCTTCTACAGTATGGCTAACTTGTAAACAAAGTAAGTAAATTTGAAACCAATTCTAATTCTATAGACAGGCACATTTACCCCTTTTGGATGTTTTCTACCTCTAGGTCAGAGTCCTGTAAGAGTCTCTTGCTAAATTCTACCCTCTCCTGCCATTCCCTGACTAATACACAAATGGTGAACAGCTAAGGCTGCTTGGCTAAAAGATAAAACAAAGTACTGTGGTGTAACTTCTAACAGAAACATAGAGGCAGAAAAGACTGTGAGGTCATCTAATTCAGCACTCCATTTAACTGAGGAACTTTGTTTGTTAGAGATTCTTTCTCAGTGCGAGTCCACACAAAGTTTAACCTCTGGAGTGACACAAAGCCCATTTTTTTTCTCCTTCACCTATAACGCTTCTCCACTGATTGAAATCCTGTCTTCTTGGTGTTGCTCTTTCTCACCCTTTCAGCCATTTTGTGCACATCAAAGATAGACAGAGGATAGCACCACTTGACCTACATATGTGTCTTTCTCAGAGGTACAATTTGGTGAAAGTAGCCTGACTGTGGAGTTACTTAGATCTAGGTTCGAAAATCTGTTCCTGCACCTCTTAACATCATAACTTCAAGTGAATTACTAACTAAACCTCGTAATTAGTTTTCTCACATGAAAAACTTATCTCAAAATATTTAAGTGAGGGCCCAGCTGTGGTGGAGAGGTAACACAATGCTCTGCAATGCTGAAAGTCTGATGGAAAATAGGCATTTGGTTTCTGGTTTGACCTGTACATACCAGGCGTGTGTGTGTGTGTGTGTGTGTGTGTGTGTGTGTGTGCACGCGCCCATGATCCTGGCTGACTAAAAAGGCTTAAGGGGAAAGTAGATGGCAGTGTGAGATCCTTCTGAAGATGCTCTCTCTCTTTCTCTGTCTCTTTCTCAAGAAAAGAATAGGTAAGCATTTTTAAAAAGTTAAAATGATACGTAAATGAGGCCATTTATGTAAAAATACTTGGTACATAGTAGGTACTTTTACTATGACTACTTATATGACTAATAGTAGCTCTGAAAGTTTTACTCAGCACTTACTATATGCTACATTCTGCATTGAGCTCTTTACATGCAATATTCACTTTTAGTCCTCATGACAACTCTACGATAAAGGCACTATTATTATTTCTTACTTTGCAGATGAGAGAGCCAGGGTCTGAAGTTACTTACCCAAGGCCACATGTTGGAAAGTGATAGAGTCAAAATTAAACCCCAGGCTTTTCTAAAACTAGAGGTATAATCCTACCCATAGCTCTACATCATTTGTTTTTCTCCTTTGTTTCTCAGAGACCCTCAATACATTATTCAGGCAGTCACCTCACATGCTTATTAAGAAGAGACAGCATATCAGTAAAGAGAATATGCATATTTCAACTAGAAGGAGCCACAGTACCACTCAATGTTTATGTAATTATCATGAATTTCAAATTAATGTCATTGGAATTAATGGGGTCACATACTAAAGAAACAAAACATGATCTTTAGGGTACTTTTTGGTTTTAAAATTTGATGAGTCTATATACAGAGCAAATTACAGGGAAATAAACAACTAAATAATTGAAGAAATGGAAAGACTATGCAAAAGTAAGTTTTGATCAGGATTGTTCTTGGATCCTGAAAGCCATGATCTTACTAGGACCAAATGGGAATGGTGTCCATCTGTCCAAGTTTATCTGACTTTATGTCTCTAATGAAAGAACCAGTACTTTTAAATTCCTGTATCCACTTGTTTAAGAAAGGCCCAGAGATTTCTGTCAGTGTGTTGATTCCTACTAATTAATTTTTAGGAGCTCTTCTGTTAATTTTCCCTAAAGTTCAAGGGTGTAATTCTTGAATATTGACCAATTAATTAAAGGTTATTTATGGGCCTGTTAATCAAGGTTCTCATCTTTACATTTCCATATCCCCTAGGATATGAGGCAGCAATCTCTTGGTAGGAGGAAGAAGGAGATAATATTTCTTGTGTCATTTTCAAGAAATGAGCATGGTACTACATAAAGAGAGGGGTCACTTGTAAATCTGAGCATCAGAATCCTGCAGTGGGAGGGCCATGAGCTCAGTAGTCACACACACGTGGGGAGTGTCATGGATTCAAGAGTCACACACACATGTAAGTCTCTTAATCTACAAGCCTTGGTGTAACCTATGAGTCATAGAAAGGGAACACTAATAATATAGTCGTAGGGTGGCTGTGAACATTAAATAATGTAATGTATGTGAAGGGTCAAGGTACCTACCTCTCCACTGGTTCACTAAATAAATAGTTAAGCCCCTCTATTTGCAGCCCTGTACCATGAACCAAGATTACAGTGGGTTACACTGTTTGCTAGATGTTGTTCCCACCTTCTTGGATTTCACAGTTTAATGGAGAAGACAGACCAAGAAAAGGCTCAGATACAATGCTGTATTGGGAACTTAAAAGTTTGTCAAGAGCATGGATCTCAGAATCAGCGCTGGACTCCCATGTAGTCCACCATGGATTGACTCCAAGATGCAGCAGCTTAAAACTCACGCCAGGTGCAGGTGCATGTGTGCCCAAAATCCCAAGAGGAGACTGGAGGAGAAGGAATTGTGTGACCATCCCCCCGGGGGAATGATTTCTTGCTTTTTGTCTCTCCAGTGAGTGCATGTCCCCTCTAACGAAAATCTCTCATAAAAAATAAAAATAGAAAAGAGCATGGCTCCCAATAAACAAATAAAAATAAAGGGGAAAAAAGAGGGTAGATTTTATATTATGTGTCTTACCACAATAAAGCAAATAAATAAACAGCCCTAGCAGCAGTGTTAGGAACAAGAGGATGCCAGTGCACAGGAATAAGGCTGCATGGGAGGCCTGGGCTTCAGTCCCCAGATCAACCTATTAATAAGATGGGCTGGCATGGTAATGCACACTTGTGGTCCTGGCTGACTGGGAAGTGAGGGCGCGAGGATCACAATATGGCCAGATTTTGACATAAGTGCCTATTTCTGTCTCCTTCTCTTTCTCTCTCTCCCTCATAATAAACAAACAAACAAATGTGTTAAGTTACAAAACATGCCCATACATCAATGAATTAATATTTGTAAAGCATTTGGAATATTGTCTATTACAGAGGATGTGCTATATAAGTATGTATTGAATAAAAAGTAAATGCAAATATTAGAGATTTATTCTAATATATTTATTAGTATACTTATTTATTAGGATATTATACTTATTCTAATATTCTAACTCCTTATGATTGAGTTCTGATGGATTTACAAGTAGAAGGAAATAATTGTAAGATGCACAAAAGTTTAAATGCCAGAATGTTTAATCCCATATTTCATCTTAAAGTTGAAAACAAGCTAAACCTCCAACATGGATGGTTGACTTATTAAATTATATTAATTCATAAAAAATACATAAAAGAGAATACAGGGATTGTTAATATAGATAGTGTAGATAGTGAAGGTTTCTTTGAAGAGATGATAGTTAAATTGACCAGTGAAAATGGAATAAACCCCCTCTTGTGCAGGGTAGCGGGGAATGGGATAAAGAAGGAATATTCTTGGAAAAGGGAACAGTAAATGTAAAGGCTGGGAGATGGGGAAGGGCTTGGCAAGTCTGAATGAAGGAAGAACCTCAAGTGAGGGGAGAACTTAAGGAGGAAAGGGGAAGGTAGGGGAGCCAGAGAATCAGACAAGGAATATGTTTTCCAAGACTCTCAGGCCATCAGAATGAGTTTAGTTTTCATTTCAAGGGTGATTGAAAGCCTTTGAATAGGCTTAAGTGGGCAGATAGCATGATTTGACTTACCTATTAGAAGACTACTCAGGAGGCAGAGTGGGGAATGGATGGGGAAGAGAGAATAGGCAGACACTGAGAGGCTTGTTGAGAGGCTGCTGTAGAAGTCTAGGGTAGCAATGATGGGGTCTGGACTGATGTGGTAGGAGTAGGGAAAACCAGGTGGGTGAATTGGTCTAGGAGCATGTGTGCTGTCAGAATCAACAGGACTTGCAGATAGGTTGGGTAACCAGGTAAGAGACAGTCAAGAATTAAGAAAGAAGCCTGGATGCTTGGTTTGAGTAATAAGAATCAACATGTTATGTACTAAGATGCAAAAGACTGATTTGGGGGAGAAACAGAGTTCAGCTCTAGAAATGTTAGATTTGAGATGTCTGTGATATAGCCAAAGGGAGAGATCAAACAGATTGTGGAGATATAAATTTAAAATTGGCAACTATATTAGTGGTACTTAAAACCTAAATCAATAAAGGTTGTGTTCTATTCCCATTTAATAATAATAGTAGTGGCTACCAGTTAATGACTTTATCTGTATTGTTCTTCAGTTATAGTACTTAATAGGTTTGGACTACTATAACAAAAATATCATAGATTGTGTATCTTTAACAGCAAGTATTTATTTCTCAGTTCTGGAGACTGAGACATCCAAGATAAAGGTGCCAGCGGATCTAGTGTCTTGTGAGGGTTCACTTTCTGGTTAGCAGATGGCTGTCTTCTCATTGTATCCTAATATGACAAAGAATAGAAAAAGAGCTCTATCTCTTCATTCTTTTATAAGGCACTGATCTCCCATTCATGAGTGCTCCATCCTCATGATCTAATTACCTCCCAAAAGCCCCACCTCCTAATATCATCACATTGGGGATTTAGTCTTCATTGTACCAGTTTTGAAGGGACATTCCATTGCAGCTGTCAAACATACATATTAGGTTGTATGCCATCAGGAATTGTAACTGAGTGGCTTAAGACAGGGAGAATATTATTAGAGAATTCCAAACTGTTAGAATTTTCTGATGAGCAGAGCTGCATGTCCAATTCTGATCCCTACAGCTAGGATTTGTCCTATAGCATAGAGAGACCGTCCCCACATCTCCAAGTGTATCAAAAGCAGCTCTTATCCTCCTAGTCTGGCAGGTATGGCCCATCTTGGTAGGTGATGGTGAATGGGGATGCCAGCCTGTTTTTTGAGTCTGTAGAGATTGAGAAGGGCCATAAAGATTTTATTGCAGAGGAGAAGGCTCACAGCCTCTACACTGATTCTGTCCTCTGCTGTAAGACTATCACCTGGGGGGAAGGCTGCAGTGCCATGCAAAGGTAAAAAGTTATATGGTTTATTGGTCCATTGCTAACTTAGCAACCTTACTTAGCACACCTACCTCCAAGGAATCAAACTTTGTGCCACAGGTCATGGGATAAATGCTACAGAAGGGGCTGAATTTCTTATTCCTATGCAGACACCTAAGGGAATGGAAGAGAAAAATCGATAAGAATTTTTAGTCTGTTCTCTATCTTCCCCTGCAGGCAGATATGGCCAGAATTGAGTAATAATATGAAAGTTCTCTTGGGCTAAAATATAATAAGATGCAGATTCTATCTCTCATTCTACTGCCTGTCTGGCCTTTTTTAACCAGTCCCTTGAACATTCCAAATCCCAGCTGGTCCACCTCTAGAATGAGAGCAACCTCTGCCTTCTCTGAGTGTTGTTTTAAATATTAAACAGGACAATAGGTATGAAGGTGCTTTGGTGACACTAACGTGCCATAAAAATGTGAGATACTTGTTTTCATGTGTTCAGTCACACCTCTTTCCTCATAGAAGTTAGTCTGGTGAAGAGGAGAAATAATGGAGGCCACTTGGTCTAGGTCAGTGGTTCTCAAATTGTGGTCCCTAGAGTGGCAGCAGTATCATTTGGGAACTGGGTAGGCATGCTGACATTCAGGCCATTAAGACTTGATGAATTGGAGAGCCCTCCAGAAGATTGTGATTCATACCTAAGTTTGAGAACCTCTAGTCTAGGCATTCATAAAAGTGCTTCCTGACAAAATGACTTTAATAAAACCTGAGAAGTAATCTGCTATAATATGAATGCCTCCTCTTCCACCTTCCAATTCGTGTGTTGGGACTTGGTTGTATTATAAAAATGTTAGATAAAAACTTAGTCACTTTGTGGTGTTCCAACATGTTGCCTTTGGGTGTGGTAAGATCACCAGGGTGGGGTCCCCCTGATTGAGCTCTGGTGAATATACAAGCAGAAGGAATGAAACCAGAACAGGAGAGAGAAAAAAACTCAAGGATATATACCATTCTGCTCTGCTAAAAGTTCTGTCTTCTGTCATTTTGTCATGTCTTTGGACTTTACAAGCAACAGAACTGTGAATTTTGCACATAATCCTCTGTTTTATTTATTTTTTAAAATAAATAACTAGTCTTGGGTATCTCTGTTATCAATGCAAAATTGATTTTTTGTTTTGATTTACATTTTATCACTGTGTGATTTTTTGTTTTGATTTACATTTTATCACTATACATCTTCGCAGCATACAAAAGGAATCTTCCCAGCCTAAATATCCTGCATATTAGTTCAGTCAAAGATATTACCATATGCATCATCATTAATACAAAAATTTTACACTTCCTGTTAAATTTTTTTCTTTTCCTTTTTCCCCTGATTCTATCCCTCCTGCCCCACAATGCCCACCCTCCTCCCTCACTGTCTCTAGTATCCAGAGTTGCTCTACATGTTTTATACTTTTAAATCTTTCAGTTTCTGTCAGAGTGCAGACATTCAGTATATATTGGGTCATCAGAAAAGTCATGATGTATTTTTTCTATTTTTTTATTTAAAAATGCATCATGACTTTTCTGATGAGTCAATATTAAGTGGGGACATAACAATGCTTTTCTTTTGTAGTCTGGCTTCCTTCACTTAGCATTAAATCCTCCATATTTGTCTACTTTCTATCAAATGCCAGGAACTCTCTTCTTTTTTTTTTTTTTTTTTTTTTGGTGGCTGAGCAGTATTCCATAGTGCCACATATTTTTTTCAATTCATTCATCTGTTCTTGAACATTTGGGTTGATTCTGTGTCTTAGCAATTGTGAATAGTACCACAAAAAACATGGATGTGCAAGTATTTTTTCTGACTGAAAGTATTTCTATTCTTTGGGCAGATACCCAGGAATGGAATTGCTAGATCATATGGTAGTTCTATTTGTAGGTTTTTGAGGAACCATCATATTGTTCTCTACAGTGGCTGTACTAATTTACATTCCCACCAACAGTGTAGGAGAGTTCGCTTTTCACTGTAGCCTCACCAGCATTTATTATTCTTTATTTTTTAAATATTAGTCATTCTGAGTAGGGTTAGGTGGTTTTGATTTGCATCCCTTATATTAAGAGATGCTGAACATTTTTTTTCATATGCTTTTTGGATGTTCATATTCCTTGGAGAGTTGTCTGTTCAGCTCATTTTCCTATCTTTTGATTGGATTTTTTGGGTGGTGGTAAGCTGCTTGAGTTCTCTGTATTTTCTTGCAATTAGTTCCTTATTTGAGGCATAGTTGCAAGTATGTTCTCCCATTCCAAGGGGTGTCTATTCACTGTAAGTATTCTTTCTTTTGCTGTACAGAAGCTTTTTAATCTGATGTAATCCTACTTACCTATTTTGGCCATTATTGCCTGTACTTTGGGAGTCTTTTTAAAAAAGTCTTTGCCACCTTCGATGTCTCCAAGAGATTATTGCCTGTACTTTGGGAGTCTTTTTTAAAAAGTCTTTGCCACCTTCAATGTCTCCAAGACTTCCCCTGTATTTTTCATCAGTAGTTTTATAGTTTGATGTTTTATGTTTTGATCTTTGATCCATTTGAGTTTGTTTTTGTTAATGGTGAGAGTTAGGGGTCCTGTTTCTATTTTCATTTTTTCTGAGTTAGGGGTCCTGTTTCTATTTTCATTTTTTTCTGGTACCATTTGTTGAGGAGATTTTCTTTTCCCCACTGGATTAACTTGTGCCCTTTGTCAAAAATCAGTTGGCTGTGTGTTTTGGGGTTTATTTCTGGTTTCTCTATTCTGTTTCATTGGTATACATGTCTGGTTTTGTGCCAGTACCATGCAGGCTTTGATTATCATAGCCTTGTGATATATTTTGGGGTCAGGGAGTGAGATGCCTCCATTTCATTCTTTTTGTGCAGTATTGCTCGGGGAGTGAGATGCCGCCCACTTCATTCTTTTTGTGCAGTATTGCTTTGGCAATATGGGGCCTTTTATGATTTCAGACAAATTTTATGATTTAAAAAAATTTATTTTTAATTTTTAAATTTTAATTTCTGAAAAATCTCTCTGGTAATTTGATCAGGATTGCATTTAATTTATAAACTAATTTGGGTAGAATCAACATTTTGATTGTATTAATTCTTCCAAACCAGGAATGTGTTTCCACTTATCGGTATCATTTTCAATTTCTCTTTTAAGCCTTTCTTAGTTTACCTTGTAGAGGTCTTTGACTTCTTTGGTTAGGTTTATTAATAGGGATTTTAGGGAACCAGCAGTTAGCATAATGGCTATGTCGCTGGACTCCCACGTAGTTGACCGCAGTTCGCGTCCCGGACCCGGTGGCTTAAAAATCACGCCAGGCTTGCGTGCGTGTGTGCCCAAGATCCCAAGAGGAGAATGGAGGAGAAGGGATTGCGGCGTGACCATCCCCCCTGGGGGGTGATTTCTCGCTTTCTGTCTCTATGTCTTTCTCTGTCTGTCTGGCGAGCACACACACCCTATAGCAACAAACCTCTCCAAAAAAATAAAATAAATAAAATAAAAATAAAAATAGGGATTTTATACTTTTTGTGGCTATTGTAAATGGTATTACTTACTCTTATTTTGCCTCAGTCTGTTTATTGTTGGTGTATAGAAATGCTATTTATTTTTATATGTTAATTTTTTATCCTGTCATTTTACTGTATTTATTTATCACTCTCAGGAGTTATATTTTGTGAGTTATTTTTTAATGTATGTAATCATGTTTTTTGCAAATAGAGATAATTTCTTGAATGCCTTTCATTTTATTCTCTTGTCTGATTATATTGGCTAGGATTTCTATATTAAAAAGGAGTGGATAAAGTGGGCAACCTTATCTTGTTCCAGTTTTTCATGGAAAAGTTTTCAGCTTTTCTCCGTTCAGTATAATGTTAGCTATGACTTTTCATAGATGGCTTTTATTGTGCTGAGAAATGTCCTTTCTATGCCAATTTTGCTGTGAGTCTTAATCATGGAGTAATGTTATATTTTTTATCAAATGCTTTTTCTGCACTGATTTATATAATCATGTTTTTTTTTATCTTTCCTTCAGTTAATAGGATGTATAACATTTATTGTTTTGCATATATTGAGCCATTTTTCTTCCCTGGAATAAAGCCTACCTGGTGTGGTGTATTTTGATGTGTTGTTGGATACAATTTGCTAGTATCTTGTTGAGAATTCTTATATGTGTACTTATCAGTGATATTTGTCTATAGTTTTCCTTTTTTATGATATCCTTGTCTGTTTTTGGACTTGAGGATGATAGAGGCTTCATAGAGTGAATTTGGGAGAGTTCTTTGCTTTTGGATCTTTAGAAATAGTTTCAGTAAAATGAGGATTAGCTCTTCCTTAAAAGTTTTGTAGAATTCAGAAGTGAAGCCATCAGGACCTGGAGTTTTCTTTATTAAGAAACTACTTATTATTGATTCAACCTCATTGCTTGTTATGGGTCTATTTGGGCTTTATATTTCTTCTAGATTAAATCTTGGTACATTATATGTGCCCATCTCATCCAAGATTTTTTGTTGGTCGGCATATAGTTGCTCCTAATATTCTCTCATGAGCGTTTGTATTTCTGTTATATCTGTTGTAATATTGCATGTTTCACTGCTGATTTGATTTATCTGGTTCCTTCCTGTGTTCTTAATTAGTGTAGCTAACAGTGTGTCAATTTTGTTTATCTTTGCAAAGAACCAGCTTTTGGTTTAATCTATTTTTATTTTTTATTTTTTTATTTTTTGGAGAGGTTTTCGCTATAGGGCGTGTGTGCTCACCAGACAGAGAGAGAGAGACAGAGAGACAGAAAGCGAGAAATCATCCCCCAGGGGGGATGGTCATGCCGCAATCCCTTCTCTTCCACTCTCCTCTCGGGATCTTGGGCACGCACGCACATGCGCCCGGCGTGAGTTTTAAGCCACCGGGTCCAGGACGCGAACTGCGGTCGACTACGTGGGAGTCCAGCGACATAGCCATTATGCTGACTGCTGGTCCCCCTGGTTTAATTTATTTTTTGTATAGTTCATTTATTCTCTATTTCATTTATTTCTGCTCTAATATTTATTATTTCTTCTCTTGTGGTATTTTCATTGTTGTTGTCTTTCCAGTTCCCTGAGGTGTGTTGTTAGGCTGTATATTTGCCATCTTCCAATTTTTTTTCTTGTGAGCACTAATTACTATGAACTTCCCTCTTTTGATGACCATTGCTGTGCCTCATATGTTATGCAAACTCAGTATTCATTACTGTTGGTTTCAAAGAATCTTTTGATTTCAGTCTTGATTTCTTCAGTTGTTGTAAAGTCATTCAGGAGTAGATTGTTTAGTTTCCATGGGTCTGTATATTTTTGAGGTTTATTTTTCTGTGGTTAATTTCAAATTTTTTTCCCTCCTGGTTGGAGAAGATCTTGGATATAGTTTCCATATTTTTGAACTGGTAAAGATCTGTTTTGTGCCCTCTCATGTGGTCAGTCTTCTAAAATGTTCCATGCAGAAGTGAAAAAAAATGTTTATTTTGTAGTTGTTGGATGGAAAGTTCTATAGATGTCTGTCAAGTCCATTCAATTGATGATAAGATTTAGATCCTGTATCTCTTTGCTTATTTTTTGTCTAGATAATCTGCCAAGAGGAGACAGTGAGTTGTTGAGATCTCCAATAATTATTGTGTTGTGGTCTATCTCTCCCTTTAAATCAAGCTGTCTTTCTCTACATATTTGTGTGCTCCAATGTTGGGTATATTGATGTTTATAAGTGTTATACCTTCTTGGTGAATTGGCCCTTTTAGTACTATATAGTGTCATTCTTTTTGTCTTCACTTACAGTTTGTCTTTGTCTGATTTTGAAAATCTGATGTTCTGTGGAATAGATCTTCTTAGGTTGATCCTATTTGGGGTCCTTTCTATTTCTTTATTTCTCTATGTTTGGAAAGTTTTCTGTTAGTATTTCATAGAATAGGTTTTCTATGCCTTTATTAGATTCTTCACTTTCTGGAATACCAATTATTCAGATTTTCTTAATTTAATGGTTTCTAATATTTCCCATATGTTATCCTCTTTTTTTTAAATTTTTTTGAGAGTTTTTTGCTATAGGGCGTGTGCACTCACCAGAAAGAGAGAGATAGAGAAATAGAAAGCAAGAAATAACCCCCCCAGGAGGGATGGCCACACCACAATCCCTTCTCCTCCATTCTCCTCTCGGGATCTTGGGCACACATGCACGTGTGCCCGGTGTGTGTTTAAGCCACTGGCTCTGGGACTCGAACTGCGATCAACTATATGGAAGTTCAGTGACAGAGCCATTACGCTAACTGCTGGTCCCTTATCCTCATTTTTAAAATAATTTTTAAATTTTTTTTTGTGGTTTCATCTGAGTCAGAGGATTTGTCTTCTAGGTCAGAGATTCAATCTTCTACATGGTCTAATCTGTCATTAATACTTTCAAGGGTCATTTTGATTTCCTGTATTATATTCCTCATCTCCAGAATTTCTATTTGATCTTTTTTTATGGTGTCTCTTCCTTCAAGTTATGGAAAGACTTCCTCATATCCTAGAATTGCTTGCCTATTTTCTTTTGTATCTCATTTATTTTTGTCACTATGAATATTCTGAATTCTTTTTCTGACATTTCTGTGAATTGTATTATTTTGTCTGTGAATGATGAAAAGCTATTCTGTTTCCTTGAAGAAGAGATATTTCCTTGTTTCTTCATATTTCTTGTGATGTGCACTGGTTTTTGGTTATCTGATGGATTATACATTTCTTCCTAATTTATTTATTTATATTCTGTAAGTGTTGGGGAGAAGAAGAGCTCTGCTTCTCAGGTGTGTTCTTGGGAAGAGGCCTCATCTTCCAATCGAAGATGGGTGTATGCAGTCAGCCTTAAGTGCATGCTTCTTTCTTAATCTCTCAGGACCACATGTACATGGGGCTGAGTTGGAGAGATTCAACTGGCTGGGCAAAATGCAGTAGCAAGAAGCCTGGAAGGACACAGAGGGATTACACTTACTCACTTTTTCGCTGCTGCTGCTGGCCCCTGCACCATAGGGGTTTATGGCATAGGGTGGGAAGGTCCCAAAACACACCTGGGTAGCCAAAAGGCATTGTCAAGTAGTCCGGGGTGTGATATTTGTGCTCTCTTTCTTCCTGCTGCTGATTTTTGCACCACAGTGACTTATGACCTAATAATGGGTTTTTAAGCAAAGAGAGTGTATAGTTAAGAATGTTATTCCAGAGGAAGGTGCTCTGGTGTAAGAGAGCTTTGTCCTTTGGAGAAATTGAAATAAGTCTACAGTGGTAGGAGCAAAGGAAGAGAAAATGTGGAAGGGAAGGAAATAAAACAGTCAGTGTGAGGCCCTTGTGTACCAGGGAAAATATTTCGCAGTTTATGTTCAGGTCAATTGGAAGCCATTAAAGGGCTTTAAGCAGGGAAGGGCTTTTTCTGGTCAATAACATGCTATTGTAATTTTAAAACATTTTCTTACAATCCAATAAAGGCAGTTAATTGTCTTAATTGGAACTTACACTCTTACAATATAACTGCTGGGTCAATCCACAAATATATGTTATGTACCATTCATGAGTTTGGCACTATGCTAGGTACAATAAAGGATGCAGAAAAGGATCTGGCTCCTTCTTTCAAAGGACTGAGGTCTGGGCAAATCCTGCCCCCTGTAACCCCAAATGATACCAGGCATCTCCATGTTAAATCCTAGGCATGGGTTGGCTTGTAGGATATCAGTGGCTGGGTAGTTAAAGAAATGCTGGGGCAATCATACAGATTTTCCAGAAGAGTAGATGGCTTGGGAGAAAGCATATAGGCAGAAATTAGCAAGAAACTTCTCCATATCTTGGAGGAATAGGCTTCTGGGAGGTGGCCATTCATCTTGGAAGTACCGGAAGTACACTGGGACGAATAGGCTGAACCCAGATGTGCAACCAGACCTAGGAGAGGAAGCTCTTAGCCTGGCCAGGTGGGTCCCAGACTATCCTGACCTCAAATGAAGTCACCCATTGCGGTCACAGTCAAGAACACTGTTGAGAGGTCTTAGGTAGGATATTAGGGGAGGTTTTCTGCAATTGCTCCTGGAAATTCCTAGTACAGTCTTCTCCCAAGGCTCTGGGGCATCTGATAGTTGACTACTTAGCTCTTATCTTTAAGTCTTTTTATTGCAGCATAATAATTATAGAAAAAATGTACAACTTTTAAGTGCACAACACTATCTATTGATTTCCCCTTCTGGGTGCTTTCCTCTCCCAAGAGAATCACTGTCCTGACTTCTACCTTACTTCTTTTTGTACTTTATGATATCTTTCATATCTGGCTTCCCAACATTATATTTGTGAGGTATATCCACATTGTTGCATTTTTCACTTTCATTGCTGTATAGTACTCCACTGTGTGTTACACTACCATTTATTTATCTGTTCTATTGTTGATGGGTATTTAGGTAGTTTCCAGTTTCAGGTTATCATTTTGTTTTAACTTCTGATATGGGCCTTTCTCTTACTTGCCAGATTACCCTTATCATTACTAAATTAATCTCAAAAACTTTGATTACTGTAAAACGTATATATGCTTGATGAAGCAAACAAACAAAGAATATTGAATAAAAAATTACTAGCAAGAGATGGGAGGGGGATAGGGAAGGGCAAAATTTATACAAGAGAGCCACCTTCCCCATCTTATCCTCTTTCTTTTTTGGGTCCCTCCTTCTCATTCTCAGAAAACCTTAGCTAATGGACACTATTGCAGCCAGTGCCCAGGTACCAGGTACTGACAGTCAGGCACCAGCACAACTGGGTAAGGTCAACTGCTTTCAGGAGCCTGTGGAGGGCAGGAAGAGTATCTTGTTCTTTTTTATAAATGGCTTGATATAGGCACTTGGTAAATGCTGGGTTTTTTTTGGGGGGGTGGTTGCCTTAGGACACATACACTCACGAGAGAGAGAGAGAGAGAAAGAGAGAGAGCACAACAATGAGAAGGAAAGTGGGAAATCAGCTATCAGCTCCTGGGGGAATGACAATGCCTCAATCCCTTCTCCTCCATTCTCCTCTCAGGATCTTGGGCATGCATGTACAAGTGCCTAGCATGAATTTCAAGCTACTGGGCCAGGACTTGAACTACAGTCATGCATTTGGGAGTCCAGCAACATAACCACTACACCATCTCTGCTGGCCATGGTAAATGCTTCTTGAATAAATGAGTTTCTTTCTTTCCTTTTTTCTTTCTTTCTTTCTTCCTTCCTTCCTTCCTTCCTTCCTTCCTTCCTTCCTTCCTTCCTTCTTTTTTTAAGAATTATTTTATTTAACTTTATTTATTTATTTTAATTTGACCAGAGAGGGACAGAGCCAAAGCAAGAACGAGATAGAGAGAGAAAGTGAGAAAGCAAGCTGCTAGGTCCAGGACTTGAACTGCAGTTGCCCATGTGGGAGTCCAGTGCCCCTAACCACCAAGCCACCTGCCGGCCCCAAATGAATGAGTTTCTAGTAAAGTGTACAAGTTGCCTGGGAATCTATGATGTGCCAGATAGGCCTAGAGAGTACAGGTATAAAATCCTTCTCTTTAGGACCTTTGGAAAAATGTTTGGTGCGCCACTTAGCTCTATTTCAGGTACCTGTTGGCTACTTTACATCTCTTGCCTCCTGTGATTCTTATACAACTCAGGGAGGCCATTACTCTTCTTATCCTTTCATGTAGGTGAAAAAGCTGAGGAATGGCAGACCTTAGTGACATTCCTAGGTTTGTATAGTCAGTGAGTGTCAGAGGTGACAAATCAAAGCTAGCAGTCAGGCCTCAAATCCATGTTCTTAACCACTATGTGACTAGGGCCAGAAGGGAGCCAATAGGAATGGCAGATGGTAAGCCATTCCCAAGACTGGCAGAGGAGAAGCTGAGGCCCAAATAGGACCTTGAAGAGAGAATGCTTAGACAGGTAGAGAAGAGGAGGTAGTTCCTGTAAGATGAGGGACTAACTTGAGCATCCTCATGAGGGGGTCTGTGGGGATGGAAATGCTCAAAGATCAAGGAGGCTGCCCAAGGAGGTGGGTCTATGGGAAAGGAGAGGCCTTTATGTTCATACTGGGAGTCTTAATTCCAGGAGCATGTTATGGCAGATCAGTTCACCAAGTGCTGCCTGATTGAATGTCTCACCTCCCAGATCTCTGAGGCTTGGCAATTATTGGGTTCCCAGATGGCCAAATCTCTGTGGCCCTGACTTGGGCATTTCATGTGGATTCAACTTCCCTTCCTAGCCAGTCTCTTTAGTTATCTGCTGCCCACCAGTCTAGGACTGCCATTACTTGGAAACTTCATCTAGACCCTCAGAGTCTCACTGTGCCCCTACATCATCCTATTGGGATACCCAGTCCCAGGAAGTTCAGAGCCTAGACCTTTTGGGAGTCTGTCTCTTCACACAGACTAGAAAGAGCTTAACCTGTGTTTTCCATTCAGGGTAATCCTCTGACCACACACAAATCCATTAACACTTATTAAGAGTTTTAGAGGCTAGGGATTGAAATGCTATGCAGAAAGCTCTGAAGGCTAGCAGAAACACTTAAAAATTCTCTATTTATCCCTTTTCCCTCTAGTGGTTTGATAATGAGCTTGAAGACAGTGTGGTTAAAAAACCCACATCTGACTGTACATGTTCCTTTCCTCACTTCCTTTAAGTATAATTCAGTGGTTCTCAAACTTGTCCTTTGAGGTGATTTAAACATTTTCAAAGATAGTTTTGAATCTATGCAAGTTTTGCCTTTTGTGCTCTCTTTAGAATTGAAGTCCCACCATATGCTGTGGTGATTAGAACAAAAAAACTTCCTCTTTTCCCTTTCCCCGTAGGACTTTTAAGGCTACTCCCATTCACTGCCCAGTGGCCCTGGCAGCTGCATTCAGAGTTTTACCAACAGCCAAGAGGATACTTTTTGGAGATTTGGAAATCCTTGCCACTTATGGAGGGATTTTAATCCAGTTGGCTTCTAAGCTTGGCCTGTTTTTTTGGAGCCAGGAATTTGTTTCCTCACTAGATAATAAGTTCATGGAGATAAGACTTCCCCCTTTCCCCTCCTCCACCTTCTTGCCCCTCTTACACCCTCATATCCCTCTTCTCACCTTTCCTCCTCTTCCTTATCCTCTTCATCCTATGCCATCTTGTTCCTCCTCCCTTTCTCTCCCTCCGTCCACCCCCCCAACCCAATATTTTCATCATTGAGTGCAGTGCCTGGCACAAACTACTGTTCTCTAAAATTTGATAAATGAATGAATGAATACATGCCATTCTTTGACTTCAGAGGAAAATTCGCTTTTTTATTTTTATTGCAGACTGGGTCGTTTGGAACTAGATTGTCATGTTCACCTTTCTGTCTTTTTCATTATTCCCTGAAAGCACAAACTCAATTTAGGCTTTAGTGAAAAATGAAGAGCATTAGACCAACCTTTTAAAATTGCTTGGTCAGTATTTCCCACTCGCCTGTACTTCACGGTGCTGTCATCACTGGGTAATTATAACATTAAGTATGTACCTGATCAGCAAGTTGCTTTTAATTAAAATCCCCTGTTGATTTCCTAGCACCTCACAGCTCCTGGAGCATTCGTTCATCCCTTTGGGCCACTGTCAAAGTTTCAGCTGTAAGGAGGATAGAAGCAGATGTCCAGAGATCTTGGGTCAACATAGCCCCCTCTTCATTCCCTCCCCTGGCTTTCTCAATAGGAAGGAGGATAGAAGCAGATGTCCAGAGATCTTTAGTCAACATAGCCTCCTCTTCATTCCCTCCCCTGGTTTTCTCAATAGTATTTTGGCAATTGTGTGGTATGAAGCTCATTGAATTTATCTCTAGAAGAAGGGGGTTCCCTATCCTTGGACAAAGGAATATGAGACACCTCAGAGGGAAGGGAATAGCCTTTTGAACCAGAGCATCTCTTGGCAATTGCTAAACCACATCCAACCTGCAGTGAGATTTATTCTTGTGGTTTTGCTGGTGGAGCCACCTGGACCTCCTCCCACATTTTCATGCAAGGGAGATGGCAGCTGGGGAAGGACCTTTTTTTACTCCTTTTCCCTTGCCATACATTTACAAATTCTACAGCTCAGCCCGTTTTGCTACGGAATAAGGAAGA